AAAAAAAAAAAAAACTGAAAACACATCGTGAAGTCACAAAATCTCAGCTCAATCAAACAATTTCAACAAATTTGAAATCACAATTTCAATAAACTTTCTTTCTACGATCCCTCGAATCAAAATCAAAACAAACAACAACAAATCGATTAACAGTAACACACTCAGGCCACGATACAAATACGAATCAATAAACTTACTCTCTTCTTCTTCTTCTTCGAAGAGTCCTTGGAGTTCGGCGAGGCCACGGCGACAGAGGCGTTGGGGATCGAATCAGGAGCCATGGCTGAATCAATCAACTCGGCCAAATCAATAGATCTCCTCTGTCTCTCCTCGAAACCTCTGTGTCGTCTTCCATGGCGTTTGCCTTGTATTTATAGGGCTCCCGATGACAAATTTGCCCTTCGTTGAGGCGATCACAGGTCACATGGGATGATTTGGGCTTTTCAGGGTTAATTTCGACATTTGAAGTTGAATGAGGGTTGAATCCTGAAGGACTGAAATGACAAGACAATGAGCAAGATTTGAGTAATTCCTTTGGCCGCAAGATACGAAATAATAATCGACAAAATATTTGTGTCTTTTTACTTGTTGCAATTGAAATTTAAATCTCAATTGTTATTTTTGGATTGTAATTTTAATTTCAAACCTTCTAATTTGGATGATAATTTAATTTCTTAATAAAAGTCATTAATTTAATAATTTTTGCATATCAAAATACGCCAATCAACATACAAATCACATACAAATGAATCGCATATTTAAATTTTCAATGTGTTATTTTTTTAACATATAGTTATGGAATATATACAACTTAAAAAATGTCGTAAATATTCTATTTCATTTTTTTTTTGTTAGAAACGATAGATTCATAGACAGAAACACATAATTACATACTAGAATACAACTAATCTACTGAAGAAACCAGCTGAAAACTAGTCGAGAGAACAACACAAAGTGTAGCCTAGAAACAACTATCACACAAAACACAATGAAACACAAACCACAAACAAGCTCCCAGAGAAAGAAACCTCCCACAAGTGGAGAAGCTCCCAAACGGAAGAACCTAAAAGGAAGAAAAAAGACAAGAAGAAAAAAAAAAAAAAAAAAAGGACTCCCAAAAGGGAGAAAGAAAAAACTAAACGGCTTGGGCACGGGCATGGGCCTAGGACTTGGGCCTTGATCCTTAAGCCTTGGTCCTTGGTGCTTGGAGGAGATGCTCTGATCATATCACTACATTACGAACTCTTTTATAGCCTCACGCATACATATAGTGCTCAGTTCTCGGTTCTGTTCTTGCTCGTCAGAACTCCGAAGACTGGTGTGCTGCAGCATCCGAGTGAATAGCCATAGTATATTTGGAGACATTACGCATAAACCCGCGTATTTGTCTTGCAGAAAGATTTCAATCGCCTCGGCTTTAATCTGTCCGTATTCAAATTGTATTTACATTCTTTGTTTGTTCATATTGTACGAACTGAACTGTTCATAGGTTCCGTATAATCGAAACACATATATTGTATGAAACGAAGTAACTAAACTCCAGCACTTCGTTCACCGGACGGTGACCCATCCATCGGACGCCGACCAATCGCATGCCCGTTCGCAGACGAGTTCCCCCAGCCGCGCCACCACCTTACTCAACGGCTCCTCCGTAAACCACAATTCATCTTCCCCAAAATGCCCTTCCGAAACCAACTTTGGGTGATCGAATTCAAATATGCACCTTGGAGAGTCCGACTCTGCCATGCTCTTCTTCCGGTCATCTTCTACAGCGACGAACGGGTGGTTCATAAGCATCTCGGCCGTCCACCTCCGCCTGGGGTCCTTCACAAAGCACCTCGCAAGGAAATCCCTCCCCTCGTCGGAGAGAGCCTCGGGCACCCTCGGTACCTGGTCACCCACCCCAATCCTCATCATCAGAGCCGCCGCGTCGGAGCACCCCTCCCACGCCGTGCCCCCACCGGCCATCTCTGCCACCGCGCACCCCAGCGCCCAGACATCCGCCGCCGGCTCCTGTTCCCCGCCAGCCACCATCTCTGGCGACATGTACATCGGCGTCCCCCGCATCTGGGACCCTATGGGGCCGCCGCCGGCGAGCCTCGCCAGGCCGAAGTCGGCAATCCGGGCGGCGCCGTCGACGCCAATGAGCACGTTATGGAGCTTGATGTCGCAGTGGACATATCCGGAGCTGTGGATGTGGGTGAGCCCACGGAGAAGGGCCTTGGAGTGCCTCCGGACCTCGAATTCCGGCAGCCCTAGGCCGCCGGATTGTTTGACCCGGTCGGCGAGGGAGCCGCCGGGCGCGTACTCGAGCAGGACATTGTAGAGCCGTTCGCCTCTCTCCAAAGAGAAGCAGTCGCCGAAGCAGCGTATTATCTCAGGGCAGCCGCTGAGCTTCTGGAGAATTGATTTTTCGTTGGCGAGTGAAGAAGAGAGAGAAGCTCCGCAGGACTTGACGGCCATGAGCGGCGGCAGAGAAGAGTTGCCGCCTCCGGAAAACGCCAAGCTCACTGTGGCGAAGCTGCCCTGCCCTAACTTCTCACCGCGAACCCAATCCATCATCTTCATAATCTATGAATTCACAATGACTTTGAGTTGATTTTTAGTTTTATTTTTTTTCAATTTGGGATTTGAGTTAGAAAATAAGAAAAAACAGAGGGAAAAACAGAGGGCTTTGTGTTGAGAGTTGAGAGTTTGAATGACCAAAAACCGTGTGGGATTGGTGGCTGTATTTATAGGGGAATGACAATAGTGTATCTTTTTTTATTAAGTGTGTGTGCGCATATATTTTTTAGTAAGAAGGGCTACTAAAAATAAAGATTTTTTTTCCTTCTTATATTTAGAATACTGCGGGCCGGCGGCCCACTTGCTGACTGGAGTGCGGCCCACTTGCAGACTGTAGTCAAGGGATTATGTTAGGCGCGCGATTTTCTTTTTCCAAAGTCTGGATTATCAACTAATTGTGCTGGTCAATGCTCAGGGGATGCTTTAGATAATAAATTTTTTTTGTTTTGTTTCGATTTTTTTTGTTTGGTTTAATTTTGAAAAAAAATATGATTAGTTGTTATTGGGTATATTAAAATAATATTTAAAATAAAAAATTAAAGTTGATTTGACATAAAAGTATAAGAGAATGATTTCAACTGATGATTAGTTAAAATTATGTGAGCAGATGAACAGTGGATTGAAATGGATGTCGTGTGTAAGAATGATTAATTGATATTATTTAATATATTGGTAATACTGACGATAGTGATGTTGAGTTAAAATTGAGTTAACAAAAGTGATTGAATTAAAAATGTTGAGATTCTTTTTTTATGAAAAATTTTGTATCCAAGAATTCTCTTAGACTTCCACTACTGCTAATTATTAATAAGGATAATGTATCTTTACGTTAATGAGTTTGCCAAAACAATTCAATATGAAATTCTTCTGTGGATTCCCTACTATATCTATCATTATAAATTTTTATTAGTACATAGCCCATGCCGATGGACGAAACAGAGATAGTAATTTTCATAGAGCTTGTCCATTAAGTCGCTCGTGCGATGCTCGAGACAGAGATATTAAATTAATCATTTCAATAGGGCATGTTCGTTAAGGTCTATAAAATAATAGAGTCTGATCATCTATTTTTCAACTCTTTTCATTGACGTCAATTTTTTGTCGGGATGTTGAACTTGAGCTTGTTAGCGATAGCCTGTAAATTTATTAACATATATTGCGCTAACACGTATATAGTAATATAAATTTTATTTTAGTATATATATTTATTTCTTGATATAAATAGAAATAATACTTTTATTTATTCTTGTTCCTCGTATAATACCCAATTATTATTTTATTATAAAATTTAATGTAATATAATGTCATTTTTATTATTACTTATAAAAGTTATAGATGTGGTCTTCTTCTTCTTTTTATTTTATGTAATGAAAATATTTAGTGTACGTTAATATTATCTATTAATGCAATTAATTTAAATTATGTCAATAAATTTAAAATAAAACATTGTGCACAATATTTTACAAAATATACATAAATGCCTTTTAGAATATAAACATATTTGATTTAGTAATTGCCAAAAACTAAATCCCTTATATAATCAAGCGATTTATCTAATTTGAATCATAAAGCTTTATAGTTTATTCAACATACTTTGCAATAAAAATATATCTTAAAAGAGTTTCACCATGGAAGAAATAAAAAAAAATAAAAAAATCATGGTTAACAGTAATATCCAAATAAATCACATGCTAAAATTATAAAAAATAGTTAATTTTTTTTTATTTCATTATTTAGCCATTAGTAAAATTATTTAATGTATTTGGTCATTTGTAAAATCATTTTATGTATCTGGTCATTATCTCATAAATGACAAACTATATTAGTTTGAAGAATAAGTTGTTTTTCTTTTTATATATATAATGAAATAAATATGAAGAAAAATTACTTAACATGTTACAATTTTCCATAAGTATTTTAGGATGAAAAGTCAACATTTGTGAAAAAATAATATGCTTAGAATATGTTTTCATGTCTATTATATATGACAATAAAATAATCAATATGAATCACGTAAAATTAAATTTATAGATTATTATAACAAAAATCAATAGTCGAGGTTAATAAAATTAATAACTGAAAGATTTTTTTATCATATCTGATTTGATCTAATTTGGAGTTGTGTATATAGAAACATCTAATGCATATATTTAAAAGTTTCCAAATAAAATATGCATTTAATGTTCCAAAATTTTTTAGCTATTATTTTCAGTAAATAGTTATTCTCTTTATATATGTATATTGTACTTGCAAATAGACCAACATGAATTTGAAATAACATAATAACAAGCAATTTACCATGTAAAACTCAGTTGACTTTGGTATGAATTTGAAATAACATAATAACAAGCAATTTACCATGTAAAACTCAGTTGACTTTGGTACTCATCAAGGAATAAGCCTTTCACCTTAGATCAGTTTAGAAAGTATTACAACATCTGAAAACTTCACAACTACACACACAGACACACAAGAACACACTGCTAATATGTACAATAAATTTTTGTAAGAAAACAAAAAAAATCTCGCATAAATCGAATGTGCTTGCTTAGATAAGAGCCAGATTTCTGCCTCGTTCCGAATCCACTCACTTTCAGTCCCACCACTTCTTCTCGGACAAGGAAATAAGCTGCCATATCAAAAGCAAGACCACGCGAAGTCAATAAATCGATTTTTTTTATTTTTTATTTTTTCTTTCTGAGTTTAAACAATACAAATGAATGAACAAATAATAGTTGAACCATAAACATGATTCTAGTCCACAGTATCTTCACAATAACCATTGTTGTAATCATAAAACTAAGCTGCAGAATGACATGCCGGGTAGCATAACTCACATATATATCAGGAATTAAAGATCAACTTCAGCCTGAATACACTTTACAGGCTGCTATAGTATGAAGCAACAAAAAACAAACAATTAAGTTCTTTTATGCACAGACCTGACGAGCAACTTGTGCCAATCTTCTGCTTTCTCGTGAAGACTCTTTTAACAACCTAGCTTTAGATTGCTTCACGGTTTGACCACCGTTTTGTTTAGCTTCCGTCTCGTTTTCTGTTTCGCTTGCACCATTGACATTAGATCCTCTAAAAGCCTCTCTCTTATGCTTCCTTTGAAATGTGTACTTGATGACTCTTTCCGTAACAGGCTGGATATAACATAAATTCGACTCTAAATCGTTTGCCAACAAACCATCTTCAAATCTAGCTTCATCATCATCTAAGGGCACGAGTTTTTCCTTCAACCCTTCATCTTTTTGCGGAATAATTTCACGTGAAATTTCGATTTCCACATCATTTGTTTCTGTTCCTAAAGATTTTTCCTTTCCCAGATGAAACCCCGTTTCAGTTTTGATATTTTTACTCAGACAATCACTGCCTTTGACTATATCAGAAGCATAGCTCACACTCAAGGGCATTGCAATTTTCCTTTTCCTAACAGCTCTTTTCCTTTTTCGAGAAAATGATTTCAGGTTTCTGAATATTATATCTGGTAAAAGTTTTTTCTCGAGTTCACTCAGAGGTTTAGCCCCGAAAGCTGCTACTTTGCTGGTATCTTCAGCTTCTTCCTTCTCCCTTCCATTAAGGGCCCGAAAACATTTCACATAGAGGCACAAAATTGAGGACACAATCTTATAAATTTATATAAGCTTTTACGAATAAATATAAATTGAAAGAAAGAAGAAAGAAACAAAATACCTTTGCCCTTGTTCTCCGCAATTGTTCTCATCATTTACTTTATCTAGCAGATTCTTCTCAAACGCACGAGTTCTTTGAGCACATTCACTTCTGTACTGCCCTTGTTCTATATGTCTAACAGTTACAGAAGGTAAATCTCGATTCCTAATATAAGAACACAGATTTCTTTCGATCGGGTTCATCATTGTTCCATCATATATTTTTTCTTGGGAGATTGGGTGGAATTTTTTACCAGATTCATATAAGTAAATCCCATTATTGGTCGGTGGATTTGAATTCTGCAAATTGTCTTGTCTTAGTTGTTCGAGTTCAGATTGAGCCTTTTCTAATTCGTGTCTGAGATCATTTACTATATCTTCAGCTTCTTCGAGTTGAGCTTCGAGCACTTTGATTTTCTTTTGCTGATTAATAGAGGCAGCTTCAGCTTGACTTGTCTGCAAAGGTAAAATCAAATATGAAGTCATATTGATAAAAGAAAGGTTGATAATATCTGAAAACCGAGAGTGTTTGCAAGCACACAAACACACACAGATAAAAAAAAAACGATTCTTCGATTTTTAAAAGGGATAAAAGGATATCATATTTTAGTGTTTTCATGACTTTGCATCATTTGATCAGAACTGAGAAGTAGGAGGTATGATTTAGATTTCAAATTTTCTTCTCGTTTGTTTTTAGCACCCAAAAAAAAAATTAAAAAAAAACTCTTCATCTTCTCCACCAAACAATCTCCCTTCACTCGAGCAAATTCAACTTCTATTAGCTAACACGATAAACTTTGATTCTCAATCATTGTAGTAAAATCACTTCTTCTAAAGGCAGAAGCTTTTGCAAAGACTTCATAAAAGGGCAGAAAATCTCACTCAGACGAAATGCACGTGCTAGTTTACCAGTAGCCACACGAGAATCAAAACTATTTCACACAAGAAAAATGTGTTGGTGTTTCCATAGCTGCAAAAACCACATGCCAACTTTACAAAATAATGTCACTATTGAAAGTTTTTTCCAGGTAGAGCAGCAAGTGATGCCGAGTGAATCACTTTTAACTCAGCCAAAAGTAGACAGATATCCTTAGAGCAACAAAGAGAATTAGCTACCGAATGAGCAAAAGGAACAAGACCACATGTACTATTCAAATCAATCAAAATTATAGATGCTTCCTGTTTCCCTCCACTCGGACAAAATCAAGCAATACGTAACAGCCAACTTACTGAAGAAAACCATAGTTTCAACAAAACCAACAAAAGGCATCACGACAATCACCAAACACGTGAATCATCAGAAAACTCATGCCAGATAGAAGTAAAAACTTATCAATGAATACCGAACTCCATTTCTTAACTAATGTGCAATTTCCAACAAATACACCAAATGAAAATATCAAAAAACAAAGAAACGGAGAGAAAAGTTTGAAACTTTTAAATTCCAAGATCTCACCTTGAAATCCATCATTTGCTTGAGGCGCATCAGCATTCTCAAAGCCTCCTCTTTCCCCACCTTCAACTCGTGCTGGTATCGAGCAGCCCTTTTTTCGGAGGACATAACCCTCGTTGCCGCCTCTTTAGACATGTTGAATATCACATCAGTATACGCCTTCTTTAACTCTGCCAACTTCTGAAGTCAAATAACAAAACCCAAAAAAAATAAAACAGATCAGTCGAAAAAAGAACACATTTTTCACATACAGATCTCAGTAAGACAAGAACCATTTATATATACCAGCACAAAGTATCAAACTTTACCCTATTTCAAAATTTTCAAACACAAGAGCTTCTGAATCAACTTGAAATAAGATAAGAACATCGAGCAGAAACTAAAAACTAGTCCACACGATGATGTAAGAAAACAACCCGAACCCGTTAGATTTCTAGAAAATTTCCAAATATACGACCAAACAAAAATACTCCACAAATACTCCCCAGGAGTCGAAATGTCAAATCAAAAACACGAAGAAAATCAAGAAAGAGCAAACGATCGAAGCCCAAAACAATCGAAAACAAAATGCAGCAACAAAATGAGCCGAAAACAAGGGAAACGAAGTGGTTATAGCCATAGGGGAGCGAATTAAGCAGTTGACAACAGACAGTCGAAAAAGAAAAAGGAACTGGGCCGCGCCGCCGTGGATACAGCGGCGTAAAACGGATGAGACCGCCGAAAGAGTCTGCAGAATTTACCTCGCCGCCGTCCATTTTCTCCGATTACTCGATTTTTATTTTATTATTATTATTATTATTTTTTTTTTTTTTCGGACGAGCTTCGTGTTAGTTGAGGTTTTCGGTCACACAAGTTCTTTCTTCATCAACTCATTGTTTTTCCTCGGCAAATTGCTGTCTGTTATGAACTGAACCTTCTGGCATGTGAAAGTACAGATTTAACCATAGTGAGAACAGCTAACTACGAAAATGCCGTGGGCTATGGAAACCGGGCTGCTGTATTTTGGGCCGACAGCGCCACTGAGATGGGCCCATATTTGGTTTTGTTGTGGGTTTTGGTGTATGACGTGGCACTTCTTGAGAGTAAACACGTGGCATTTCCATTTTCCTCTCAAATCCCTACTCACTGAGCTTCACCAAGCTCTCCTATGATGAAGTAAAATGTTGAAAGTACGCGCAAATTTCCACGGTTGCCGCCGGCACCACCTCCCGATTCTCCGGCGCCGGCACCACCATAGCCGCCAAATCAAGAAAATGGGGCCCCACTGATAAACCCGCCGAGATTTTTTTTCTTTTTTATGAGATGGTAATGCATTCTGTCCCAAGAACCGTGCTTTCTTACACCTCGTCAATTCGTATTGTAGAAACTAGGCAGTACGAGGTTTCACTTTCAAGATTGTAGCTTGTGAGCTGGGCGGGTACTCTTGGGAGGGGTTATTGTCTTCTTGAGTTCGTATGTTGAAATGAGGCGTGTTCTAATAGAGGGTTTGGGGGAACGAGGCCGAGATGGTGTTTAGGAAGATAAACGAGAGTGGGGGTTTTTCCGTACATTACTATATATTGTTGTTTAGTTTAGAATTTTTGGAAAGTTGGGGAAGCTGGAGAAATTTTCTTAGATTCTTGCCGAGATGGAGACTGATGGGAACTTTTCGAATATAATGAGTTATAATGTATTGCTGAAGGTGTATGTAGTCCCGGTGGAAGGTAAAGGAGGCTATTGGGTTGCACTTTATCGATATGAAGGTGATTTATACCAATTTGGATGCCAACACTTATACTATACTCATCTGAGGTTTTTGGTCGAGTGGGGTATTTTAAGAATGTGGAGTCGAATATGGAGACTTACGAGTGGTTGATTCACGCCTGAGGAAAGGGCGGGCTTCTTGAGGATATAAAGAAGATTTTGTTTCATATGAATGAGAGAATGGGATTTTTCCCAGTTCCAAAGTGGCTTTTGTTTGAGGAGGCTCTTTTTATGTTTAATAAAATGAACGAGGCCAGGAGTGTGTTTACTATCGAGACCTATAATTATCCGATTCACGCCTTTACAAAAGGGAGGTTTTACTAGGAGACAGAGGCAATATTGTCGAAAATGAGCTAGTTGAGTGTTCCTAGAAATGGGGATTTCTTTTTGATTGGTGTGATTGAGGTGTATAGGCAGCAGGGAGGCTGGTTTGAGGAGGCCGTAAAGGCTTATGTAGACTCGGAAAAGGTGAAATGTGATCTGCATGAATAGTATATATACACTCTTGAGTTGGTTTTGAGCGCGTATTGCTTTGCAGGTTGTTGACGAAAGTGGAGTGCAGTTTAGGGGAAATTAAGGAGTGGAGTTGGTTTGGTTAGTTAACCAAGTGTTATATGCTACTATGTGGTGCTGGCTGTATATGCAAAAACCGACAGGTCAGACTTTTTTTTACTGTGTACTACATTTTCGTTATCCTTTTTCAAATTCATGCTGCACTGGTATTTAGGTTGGGGGGATTGAATTGTTTGACAATTCTATGATCAAGAATTATTCTGTTCTTGATTAATAGGGTTTAGTTAATCCTTGTTACAATGGCCGAACGCCACTTTTTTTTTTCTGCATTTATCTGCAAGAGTACTTGCTGCTTATGGTTGTACATAAAAGATCTTTGAATTACGGTAATTAGCAAATAGTTGAGGTGGTTTTTGAAATGCGTGGTAGCTGGGTTGAAGAAACTGCTCGACTTATCTGCAGCAGATAAAATAAACTCAACATTTCATTTCTCTATCAAAATTCAGAAGTAGGAAATAAGGCATATGTCTTACTTAAATATTAGTTCAAATAGAAGCAATTGGATTTTTTCATCTATTTTACTGTAAGTGACGAGAAATACGAAAACTCTGAGCAATTGTGGTCAAGGTGGAAAAAAAAATAAAAAATGAAAGGACAATACCCTGCCTTAATACTACAATTCATGTTAGTTACAGTAAAATTAGATCACTAACTCAAATATTAGAATCCAAGTAAACAACCCAGAGCACAAATCGGCAGCTCGTTTTTGCTTCTGCGTTGCTTTTTTTTTCTTCGTTGAATCCATAATTTATTACTTTTATAGTTTTTGCGTGCGTAAGTATGGATGTGTTCTCTTTCTGAAGAAGATTAGCTAATGAGATATACTGTCAAAATAAGTAAACGAACATCTACGAGATGGCATTTTTCGGATGCTTGTAATTCACGCTCTACGTGTTGGAAAACTGAATTTTCATTGTTATTTTGGCTCATGAGTTGGATTATTGAGCAATTTTGATTATTTGGCTCCATTCACTCTTGACAAGCTTCCAGTTCCATGCAATTGTCTGATCATTTTGTCAAGAAAAACGAGAATTGTTAGTTTCCTTCTTCTTTTTGAAGACTTTATGAACTTCTTAACAGTTTATGTCAAGGTGGGACAAAGCCAGTGAATTTGTTAATGAGATGCACACAAATTGGAGTATCTAATATTCACCAAGTCGCTCGCCAAATGATCAATGGAGAAATTTGACAATGGCAATAATTGGTAAATTGTAGAGTACATATTCGACACAATTCTTGAAGCATTTTGGTGTTTGGGCCAAAAGTAAAGGTCGACGAAACAACTTTCAGGTCCTAAGACTGAACTTATTATTGGCAGGGGGGATATGAATTTGCAGGCTGATGGCTTCTTCTCTTAGGTACTATTGTCTTCATTTTAAATCGAGTCAAGAAATTGTAAGAACCGAGGGAGATTTTACTTTGAAGTTACGCCTCTTGTGGAGATTGTCAAAGAGTTCAAATGGTGACTAACATGTCTCGGTCTCGATCTTTTGTGCTGCTGAAATTCGAGCTTCACGATGCGTGAGCTACTGTCGATATCCGAGTTCCTTCTTAGAATCTGTTGGCCCTAACCTCAAAACATATCGAAATTCGACAATGAGGTATCATCTGAACTAGTTGCTAGATATGCCTGTGGTGATTCTATTTGCCAACTCTGAAAAATTGTTATACTTAATTGCAAAAATCGAAAAGGCGGTGAGTAAACTATACAGAAATGTGGGAAATTGCGACTTTTTTTAAATTCAATTTTGCCTTTTTTGTATAGACATAAACTTTTCTTTTTCAATGGGGAGAGTGTGGTTCTTGACAATGACTCGTTTAGGTTTTTTTTTTTT